CAGCCCTGGCAGCCAGGATTCCACTGTCCGTCTGGAGCAGTCTGACTGCGGCAGCTGCCTTTGGGAAAGCAGTATTGGCTGATCCCACTCCCTATAACAACCTCCAGCTTCATCTGCCTTGTAGGAGGTGTCAGGATCTCCTTCCTTGCAAAGGCTGAACCATTTGCTTTGGTTTGAATGAGAAAGGCTCCCCACCCTCACCCCCATAAGCCCTGGTATTTGCATAGTGGGTCCCCAGTCCGTGGCGCTGTTCGGTGAGGCTTAGGAGATTTGCTCTTGCCAGAGGAAGTACATCACCAGGGGCGGGCTTTGAGACTTTAAATCCTCAAACGACTTCCGGTTTGCTGCCTCTGTTCAGTGCTTGTGGTTTAAGGTGTGAGCTCCTAGCTTCCTGCCCCAGCCGCCATGCTTGCTCTTGCTCTATGCCCCGCTGCCATGATGGACTTTTTATCCCTCTGAAACCATAAGCTAACGTGAGCTTCTTCTGATATAAGTGACCTTGGTCTTGGTGTTTACTCACAGCAACAGAAAAGTAACTAATACAGCGTCGTACCTCCGACTCATCCGCTCTCCCGCTCAGCTGTCAGCGGGCTTGTGAGCCCCGTCCACCTCTTGGCCCCTGTGAGTAATGCTGCTTGGAGGCTTTGCTTTCAGTTCTTTTGGAGAAATACCTGGAGTTGCTGGGTTGTATGGTAGCTCTGTGTTAAATTTTTAATGAGCTACCATGCTATTTTCCATTAGAGGCTGTATCGTTGACATTTCTGCTGGCAGTGTCTAAAGCTCCCAGTGTCTGCAAATCCTTGCCCAAGTCCTCTCCTCCCTCCCTCCTTCCTTCGCCTCTCCTACCTCCCTTCTTTCCCAACAGCCATTTTAGTGGTGGTGAGAGACAGTTCTTGCTCCATCCATCGGTTTCTTTTCTATTTTCTATTTTCTTTTTCTGTGATAAAACACCGTGGCCAAGGCAGCTTATCAAAGCATTTAATTGGACCTATGGTTTCAGAAGGTTGGAGTCCCAGGTGAAGGAGCAAAGGCAGGGGGGCAGGAATGGCTTAGAATTCACATCTTGATACACAAGCAGGAAGTAGAGAGAAAGATCACGCTGGGATTGGCACGAGTCTTTTGAAACCGCAAAGCCTGCCCCTAGTGACACATCTCATCCAACAGTGCTCTAATCCTTCCCAAACAGCTTCACCATTTGGGGATCAATAACTCAAGTATATGAGTTTATTGGGGCCATTGTCATTCAAACTACCACACACACCCTTTTTATCAGCACATATTAATTATAAAAAAATGAATTTTATTATTGGCCTTTCTTTTATTCAGTTCTGTTCATCTCTGCCTTTGAATTACTGGGCTTTGCCCACTAACATTTAACATGGTTATTGATACAGTTGAACAGGATTTGCTAATTTATTAATCTTCTATTTCCTTCCTTCCTAATGTTCTTCATGGTCTGCCATATTTTGGTATATCTAGATACTTGTAATTTTTCCATCTTATTAGTCTATTGTGTTCCAGCCATCTCTCTTTCTCTGACACTATATTAGTGGCTGCTTAGGAGTTAAAATATACACAACATTTTACACCTAAGTGTGCCCTGCCCATTCTCCGTGCCACACTCCATAATCTGTGTCTGATCTGTAATAGATACAAGGTAACATGCTATATTTCTGACATATAAATATAAAACAGTCTTTTGTATTTCAAAGAAATAAAGACATTAAAAGCTTTCTAATTTTCACACATCTTCCGAGACCTGTCAGCCTTTGTTACTTCTTTCACTTGGAAATTCCAAAAGAAAAACTTCCCTCCCAGGGACTTCCCTCAGTGTTTTTCATAAGTGGCAACACATTGGCTAAGCTTTCTCTCATCCCAAGCTTGCCTTCATCCCAGAAGGATGCTATTGTGGATTCTGGACTTTGAAGTCCGCAGGAGTCATTTCAGGATGTAAGGATGTGGTCCCACTGCCTTGTGGCTCCCACAGTCTTGAGGAGATGTCTGTAGTCACACCACTGTTTGCAGCTGTGTGGAATGTGTCTGTTTCCTCTGGGTGCTTTAAAGACTTCCCACTCTTCACTGCAGATATCTCAAGCACCAACCTGCATCACGGTTCAGAGAGCTTTTTCTTGGCTAACGTGAGGTATGTGTAGTTGAATGTCCACCGGAGCTTGGGGGGAGAGTTTGGTCTTTGTCCAGGGTTTGTAGCTCTCATTTGCAGTTGAAGCTGACCTGGCAGTGTCCACATGCTTGCTTCTGCTACTCAGATGTCCTCTCACCTGTCTCGGAGCCATGGGGACTTGGAGCAGGAATATGGACTATGAGAGAGGAGAGACCTTGGAAGAGGTTGAGGAATACAGAGCCAACTCTATGTGGAGAGAAGAGACAGCTGTGGGCAAACCTGCCCTGTGAGGCTCCAGGGAAGTTGTGGTAACACACACTTACCTAGGTGGTTAACCATCTGAACTAACAGTGCTCTGTCAAGGTCCAGGTAGAGGTTTTCCCATTTGGTTTGCGGCTAGCCATTTCCCTGCTGGGTCCTCATAACGTCATCCCCGGGTTTTATTCTCTGTCGTAACATCTTTTCTAAAAATAATGTTATCATTCATACTGAATTGGGGTCCCCTCCACTGATCTCATTTAACCTTCATTGTCTTCAAAGACTTCCTCTCAAAATGGCCACAACCTGATCAATTTGGGACTTTCACGGGAACTCCAGGGGAGCACCATTCAGCCCCACCGTTCTGTCCCGGGCTGTAGAGAGAAGAGCTGCCTGGCCCGTGACTTGTGTTGTGGAAGTCAGGTAGCAGCTCCTCAGGCTGGGTCGCTGGCTATCCATCCCTGTATCCATCCCTGTATCCATCCCTGTCTCCCTCCAGTCTCCCCACAGCCTGTGCTGCGGCTCTTGTGGCCTCTATTTTGCATATACGGAATCAATCTCAAATCACTCAGCTAGTGAATGGCTAGACCTTTCCCGTGCTGAGTATTTCCCCCACAGTGCCTGGCATTTGGTAGCTTAGGGTTAACATTTTTAGATTTTTTTTTTAAATTACATGTAGTTATTTATTGTGGTGTGTGTGCATGTGTGTACGCACGCATGCTAAGGCGCGCACCGGGGAGGGCGGGAACCACTGTGGGAGCTGGTTCTCTCCTTCCACCGCGTGGGTTCCAAGTTTAGAACTCAGGTCCTCGGGCTTGGTGGCCAGCACCTTCACTTACCTCTGGCTGGCACTAGGATCACCTTGGCTTTTGCTCCAGATTGATTCTGCTTGACAGGCCCATAAATGATGCTTTAAACAGCAGAAATACATTTGCTCCCAGTTCCAGAGACTGAGAGTCTGAAGCCAGGTGCCTCCTATGCAAAGTTCTGGTGAGGACCACAACACTTCTGGCCTTCGGTCGCTGCCTTCTTGATGCTGTATGGTGGAGCGGCAGAGAGTGAGCTTCTAATGACACATCTTCTAATGACGTATCTCCTTGCCATGTCAAGTCCAACCCTAGTTACCTCCTGCTAGACCTTGCCTCCAAGCATGGTTCCTGGGAACTATGGCTCCCATCTGTGAATCTGGATGATGCGGTTTAAATCATTGTAGGCCCTGTGTTTTTCTTACACTGTGATGAGAAAGATGCAGGCACTGAGCTAGAGACTAGAATGGCTACTTGCCTCTTCCTGTGCTAGGGCTGTGTTGCCAGAAGTCTGGTTGGGGGTCTTGAGCCCTGGTCTTCTAAGCTATTCACAAGCTCAGTGCCTCCCACCACAAGACACCGATACACCCATGTCAGGATAGCGTCTGTAGTGACTGGAGTGCCTAGGGTTTCTGTGCTCCACCAGAAGCTTAGTGTTAGCTCCTGCCATTGCCAAAAGCCTGACCCAGAAGCAGCTCTTTTTCAGGTCTCTCGGGCACCCAGGGCCTGACCATTTGCAGGCACTCTGAGAAAATCACCTCTCATGAGCTGCTGAAACGCTGCATGGCTTCTGAGTGTCCTGAGATGGAGGGAGAAACCCATGTGGCTCTGTGGCAGTCTCCTGCACAAAGTGTCCCCACTATGATATGTGAACAGGACAGGCAGCCGCCCACCGATGAGCTCATGGCCTGGGCTGCTTTCTCTCTAGCAGAATCTGTAGACTGTGGCTTGGCCTGGCCTGGGTCTGCAGTGTCTCCGTCATGACTCCTCCTCCATGCTGCAACAAAATCCTCTGCAGAGCCATGTTCCATGTGGAGTAGGACTGGATCTTTTGAAGTGCAGACACAGGGATGAGGTGATGCTCTCAAGAGGCCAAATTGGAGCATTCTAGAAAGTTCGGCTTCCATGTTAGTGTACAGATGGTATCAAAGAGAGCCCGGGTCATCACCAGACCCAGAGGTGGAGCCATGAGGCCAGAGCGGTGACCTCTGCACAGGGGCAGGTGGGTGAGCAAAGAGGATTCATGGCACTCAAATTCCCCAGGGTGAGAGGTGATTTGGTGGCACTTACATGCTAAGGGGCATTTGAGCTGAGCACTGCTTCCTCACCCAACTGCATAAGCCATGGCTCACCTCACCACTCCACCTCTCGATACACTCCCCATGTTGTGAGGGGATTGGGTTTCAGCTCCTGGGAGAAATGGCTGATTCTTGGTCCTGCCACCTCACAGAGGGAGGTGCCATTTATAGGTGTGTACCCTCCTGGAAGAATAGAGGGACACATGAGCTTCTCGGCACCAGGTAACTGTAGCTCAGCATGTAGCAAAGGATACTGTCACAACAGGAAGATGTGCAATTACAGGGACAAAAATACCCCAAGGAAATCAACACGGGACTTATTAATATAGGACCCATAGGTGACAAGTGTCAGACAATCGGTCAACAAGGGGCCTCGTGTCTGCATGATCCCAGCTAACCCGTCATGATCTTTATGAAGTGTCCTTCTGGGGGGTCCGGATCTTCAAATACGAGGGGAGACCCTTCCCTTTTATTAGCAGCTAAGCTCTTTATATACTTTTACTATATTGAGGCAGGTTAGAAGTCTAAGCTTTATTGTCTTATGTTATTGGAAATCCAGATTCCGGCAGGCTTCTCCCTCAGGTCAAGCTTTGTCTGCGAATATATTCTCATTTTTCCATGTACAGAGACCGTCTGGAGAGGGGCAGGAAAGATTATGACTGTAATATACTTAAATCCAATTTATTTGCCTGACCAGAAACTTCCACCCTCCGCGATTGCTTCCTACCCAAGATGCTGTCTTTGATTCTTTCGTGATAGGGAGAAATGTGTGTAGGCTGCTTCCAGCCCGTCCAGGTGCCCACAGCACTGTGGTGGGGCCAGAGGGTGGCCGGTGGGTCTGCGAGTTTTCATTCAGAACTTTCCACTTGCTCCTGAGGCCACACTTGTCTCCTGGAAGAAAAATGGTAACTGAGACTCAGCTCTCTTCTCTAGAAAGTCCTTTGGCTGCCTGGTCCCTGTTATGGCTACTTATCTGCCTCATCTGATCCAGGCATATCTTTACCAGTGGTCATCCCACCCATGTGTGGTGTTGGCCTGGGCCAGGGTGTCTCTGGCTTCACATTATGGGTTTTACAAGCTTGTGCTGACATTTACTCCAGAGCTTGCATCTGGATGCAGGCTCACAGCCCTGCTTTGGAGGGAATGATTTTGGAAATTATTTTCTTAATTGGTGTTTGTTAATTTTAAATGATGGGCTGCAGAGGCACTAGCTGGATAGATGGAGAGGTATGGGCAGGACTGCCTGAAGAGTGCCCAGTTGTGCCCAAGTCCTTCTGACCCTCCTCCTGGCCAAGGGATGTCTGATATCAGCCTTGGCCTTGGACTGTGCAGCTAATGAATTCGGGATAACAGCCTTTCTGATTGTTATCTGTGGGCCTCACCTACCACCCCTTTAGTGTAATATATGACACACACATTAGGTGCCGACTGTGTACACCCTTCCTTGCTATTCTAGAAGGAGATGAAAGAGAAAGGGCAACTAGCCATGAATAAAGAAGTGGTGGGCTCTGAACCTGGAGCAGCAGGGGCATGGGACCCTGGGTAGGGTCCCAGCTACGGGGAAACAGGGTCACAAAGATGCTGTGTAATATGACCAGCTCACCCTCCCACATCCCAAGAAACCTTCCATTTCAGACAAACTGGGACAGGTGATCTCTACAGCAGCTAAAAGGTGGCACAGACCTGGCATCATGACGCTCTGCGTGTCTGGGCCCAAAGAAACTGAACCAGGAGGATAGGTACAGACCCCAGAAAAGAGGCATATCACAAGAAGTTTTGATCTGAGATTATAAAGGCCAAGAAGCCCCCCCAGGTCTCTAAGCTAGAGGCCCCAGCACAAGCCTAAGTTCAGCCCTGCTCAGGTTGTAAGGCCTGACACTCAGGGAGCCAATGGGGAGGTCTCAGGCTGAATCAAAAGGTGAAAAGACAGGAACATCAGGGAGTGAGGCTAGAGAGCTGGCCATTTCGGCTTAGGCAGAGAGCAAAGGGTCCTTTCCTCCACCATTCTGGACTAATCAGGACCTTAGTAAACTGGATGGTGCCTGTCTTCATTGGAAGGTGGACCCACTTAAGAGTACTGATTCCAATATCTAGAAACATTTCTGCACCCCTCACCACACACACACACACACACACACACACACACACACACACACACACACACACACCATTTCCCAAGCTACCTGGACAGCCTTTAGCCCAGCCTAGTTGACAGAAAGTTCAGCATCATGAGTCATCTTGGTCCTGGCTCTGTCTCCTCTCTATGCCACAGATGATAGCAATGGATCCCCACGCCTGGAAACCTTTGTCCTCTCCATGAGACTTGGGAGACCTCTAAAGAAAGCATGGTGGGTGACCAGTGATGGCCTGGCAGTCAAGCGTGCTAGTCTTTGGAGACGTGGTGAACTGCACAGCATAGCACACGGCAGGGGGTGACAAACTGGTTTGCCTGGGAAGCTCCAGTCTCTTGCTTTTTAGTCTGTGAGGACCCAGGATAGGGTTCTCGTCCCCTGGCATGCTCCTTCTCCTGGGGTAAGCACAAGGGGGACACCAGAAGCTGGACCAGGCAAGTTGGACCTAGTGCTGCTCCCCACTCAAGGGAACATGGCATCACGAAGCCTGAGGCCTGTGGCTCCCATACTCAGTCCCTATTGCACCATTCTGTCCTAGGGAGCCTGTAGTAAACAGTCCAGGAAGAGCCCTGGGATTGTGCTATAGATCTTGCTAATCTCTGTACAGAACAGCCCCATTTCCCAGCCTTGCATGGAAAGCTGGGGGCATAGGGGTTAGTGCTATTTAGATCTTTCTAAGGGAAAGGTCACAGGAAGGCTCCTCTTGCAGAAAAGCCTAGGAAGTGGGTCATTTGGGTTTCAACATTAATCCCTTCCTTCAGGTTGAGTAAGTATCCAGTGTCTGTCCTTTCCACCACACTCTGTGTGATGGTTTGACTGAGAATGGCCTCCACAGGCTCATACGTTTGAATACTTGGTTTCCAGTTGGTGGAACTGTTTGGGAAGGATTAGGAGGTGTGGCCTTGAAGTAGGTGTGCCACTGGGGGACAGGCGTTGAGCTTTCCAAAGACTCTTGTGATTGTGATTTAGCTCTCTCTGCCTCCTGTTCACGGATTGAGGTACGAACCCCCAGCTGCTGCTCCAACTGCTTGCCATCACACCCTTACTCTGCCCTGGACTCGAACCCTCTGGAACTGTAAGCCTAATCGAACTTTCTTTCATAAGTTGCTTTGGTCACAGTGCTTTTGTACAGTAATAGGAAAGTAACTGTGACACCTGCCTGTCAGTGGATAGCCAAGCACCTTGCTCAACAGACTAGAATGAAGTAAGCAGGGAGGTGGTCCACAGGGGCAACAATGGCCATGGGTGAGTACAGGAAAATGTGTTGCCCTCCTGGACATGAGCTAGCCAGCAAAGGGAAGCTTTGGTCTTGCCGAGCCCTCACTGCTGTCCGGAACCCTGAAAACTTTGATGGGGTTCATCATGGGATCATTGTCCTTCCACCCAAGACTCCATGAGATTAGCTTTGCTTTTATAGAGGCCAGGCTGACCTCCTGCCAAAGATGAACTGCAAAGTGACAAGCACCTCACCTCTGACATCTTGGGTCTGAATCAGGCACCTCCTGCAAACATCCATTTCAAGGACACTGACAGTTACCACCGATGTGTCCCCAAAAATGAAGCCAGTGGTCCCTTGGGTAGATCTGGGGAATAAGTCTCAGGAGGCAGCTCTGAGCTTAAGCCTGAGCTCAAGCCTCAAGCCCAGCCCCAAGCCCCCGCCCCCAGCCTCCCTTCTGAGGCTGCTCTTCACAGTAGAAAGCTCAGCTTCTGCGTGTCCTTCCCTCATTCTGAGACCCATAGCTGCTCAAAAACACCTGCTGTCTTCAGCATGCCCCCAACACTTCTGCAAGTCCACCTGATGCCAATAGGAGCTGGAGAGCACCTCCTGGAGGGGACAGGTGGCATGGCTTGTGAGCAGAAATGAACTAGGTATGGGCTTATGCTAAGGAGACATTGATTTTTGTTGTTATATGTGGTGACGAGTAAGTTATGTTAAATATCCTTATCTGCTGAAGACACATACTGAAGTCTAAGGACTTTTTGCAATGAACACTTGCAAAGTAAAGATGCATGGGCAAGGGGGTTTACTGTGTGACTCACTGTGTTATACTGCAGCTCCCATGATGAGATTTTTAATTTTTCCCTTTTTTCTCTTAAATCTTATTTTATATTTGGGGGTGGGGAGTGCAGGGCTGGAGGGCAATGAGTGGGACCAAAGTATATAATGTAAAAGACACATAGAATAAATAAAAAAGAAAGTTAAAAAAAAGAGTGGATCAAAACAATAGTGTGGGCTTGCCTTTACACAATCCAGGGGAAACTGTAGGGAGGGGAGAGAACAGGCCGGCAAAAGGCTCACACAAGGCTGGGCAAGGTGGCCACGGCTCACTTTCCTGGCTGCTCAACATATATTATTTATTTACTGTTTGTTTATTTATGGGGGGATGAAGGGTGATGGGAGTGGGTGCCTGCATGCTACAGTGTGCATGCGGAAGTCAGAGGACAACTTGCAGGAGTTGGTTCTCTCCTTCCACCGTGTGGGTCCTGAGAATGAAAGTCAGGTCCCCAGCCTTGGCTGCAAGTGCCTTCACTTGCTGAGCCATCTCGCCGGCCCCTGGTTTTGAGTGTGTTTGGATTTTCAAAGCATCAAAATAGTGATGCTTGGGAGTTGAGATATTTAAAATAGATTATCAACATTTATAATACATTGATAGTTTCAGAAACTCTAAGGAAATTGTTAAAATCTTAAAGCTAATGGGGGAATTATCCGATAGAAAATGTATCAGCCCTAAAACTCCTTCCCAAGGCCATCCATAAGCAACCCAAACTGAGAACTTTCTAAAACCCCTACTACTAAGACTGGCATGCCTCCTGTGAGGCAGCAGGAACCCTACCACCTCTACCACTCTGCTCTGAGGCTCCGCAGTGAGTGCTACACCAAGACAGGAATCAGAAAGTCTCTCCACACAGTCCTGTTGACTTAGGGACCCCCTCTTTCACCCCAAATCCAGAACATGCCTAGACAAAGAAAAGAATGAAATGCACCCACAACAGCACCCACCATGCCATGGCCTGAGTCAGGCAGCCCCCCCTGAGGCCCAAACTCAGACTTCTTCCTAACATGGCTTGGTCTTACAGAAGTTTCCATGTCTCCACATGTATGTCCTTGAGGTGTTCATAACTCTTCTTCGCAGAACAAGGGTGTCTGTTCAACCTAGGGTAGAGCTGGGTGACTTTCTAATTTCTATGTGACCTTGACAATCCACTGGTCTTGGCACTCTACGGCACTCAGAGAGCCAGGGAGAGGGAAAAGTGGAGGGGAGCGATGTAGAGACAGGAGAGATGGGTAATCTGGGGCTAGCGGGGAGAACAAGAAACAGAGAGGGAGAACTCCAGTCTGGGAGAGAGCGGACATCTGGGCTGCAGAGCACCTGGAAAGAGGACGTGACTGAGAAGTGACCACAGGGGCTACAGCAGAAGGACGCCTGATAGAGAGGAGGCTGAGAGAGCAGGTGGGCTGTCCCAGGTGGAGTGACTGAGCTGTCACGGGGCTCAGAACCAGGTCACCCACTACGGGAGGGCAACAAGACTGCCAGAGACTGGAGAAATGCTGCAGTGATTTGCAGCAAGGAAAGAAGGCTGAAGCCCACAATGACACCTCCATCAGACGATGCGTGATCCCCACTGCCTCCCCATCTCCTCTGTCCTCCCATTCACTTCTACCTGCCAGGTCCTGAAGATGGAACTCAGCCTAGGGGAAGGGAGGGGCTTCCCCGGGCTCAGCTGCACGCTGGGCTCCTGCTAAGTCTGGGCAAGGCCTTGCTCAGGGCTTCAAATTGTACCCAGCTGCAGAGTCACAAATGCAGGGAAGTGAATTCTTTGGCTCCTAAAATCCAACTTGGCTGAGAATGGACTGACACATCGCTGCTTCCAGATAGACCGCAGGGTCCTAAAGCGGATGGCCGTGTCAGATCTGGCCCTTCCTCCAATCCCTGGCAGCCTCTAAAATCACAGGGTCTTCTGGAGGTGTGTCTTGGCTTCCGGGTAGGGCTTCCACGTGCAAAGGTAGAGGCCAGTGCTGCCAAGAGAAATGCCTTAGCAGTCGCTAGGAAGAGGGTTCAGTGGGTCAAAGTGCTGGCTGCGGAATCCTCAGGATCTAGTTTAATCCCCAGATCCTTTGTATGTGGAAGGAGAGAAGCAACACACAAAGCTGTCCTCTGACCTCAACACACTTGCTGTGGCACACGCACATCCATGCACAGGCATATCACACACACACACACACACACACACACACACACACACACACACAGTGCTACGTACCAGCATAGAGAGTGAGGTATTCTGTGTCCCGGAAGTGTTTGTTTGCTTCTCTGGCAGTTCATTCAAGGCAGATTTCAAAACACAAATGCAGCCAAGAGGGTGTCAGCTGGCCACAGCACGACCAGTCACACAACTGGCCACATCTAGGCCCAGTCTAGGCGTGAGTCCAATGCAAATGCCATACGGGGGTGGAGCTGCACTCCCCCACAATCCTCTCACTCACCCTTTCCCTGTACTGAGGCAGCCAAGTGTTTAGACACAGAGCAGCCACAGACTAGATGCTGACAGCATACTTTCCAGGTCTGACCACACCATCTCTGTGGCAGAACCGGTCACAAGTAAAGGTGTGCTGAAGACATTCCTTCCTCTCTCAGGCCTGGCACCCTTGGATTCCCTGCCACTACCATGAAGCTCACCTCTGAGGCTCCACCCCTGGGGATCTGCTTGGGAAGCACCAGCCGCGGGTCGTCACCCGGAAGGCAGTCATCGGTGGATCTCATTGCAATTCATTTTAATTACGTGTGGCATAAAAAGACCACCTACAGATGAGAGACGACGCTGCCGTAAGAGTCCCAAGGTTGCTGTGGGGAATACTTCATAACTGAAGTGTGTTCTCCCCAAGGAGTTATACCACCATTTGATTTAATTTTTAATTTTTACATTTTAATCAAAAATAGATCAAATGGTGGTGGTCTCTCCAGGGAAGTATACTTCAGATAAGAAACCGGCCATGCTCCTCTTAAATATGTAAAGCTGCCATCTCCCTGTGAGTCATGAGGGTGATGACGCCTCCGCCAGCCACCCCCCACTGCAGCTGGGCTTACAGTTTCTGAAGAGTGACACCCTTACATCCCAGGCCGCACCTGCTGCAGTCTCTCACCTGTTTCACACAGATCAATGCAGCTGTGCAGAGCAGCCTATCTGGGAAATGCCTGCTATGTGACCCAGGCAGGACGTCTTACCCTACTAGCCAGGGGAATGTCTGAATCCTCCTCTCAGGTATTGCGGGATGTCTTTCTGTATGCTGTGAATAAGTGTTACCCCCATTGGCTAATAAATAAAGCTGCACTGGCCTATGGCAGGGCAGGATGGAGCCAGGCAGGAAAATCCAAGAGAGACAGTGAGAGGAGAAAGAGTAAGGGGAGACACCAAACCGCTGTCGAAGGAGCAACATGTAATGGGACACAGGTAAAGCCACGGAACACATGGTGATACAGAGATTAATAGTTATGGGTTAAGTTATAAGAGCCAACTAGTAAGAAGCCTGAGCCATAGGCCATATAATTTGCAATTAATATTAAGCTTCTGAGTGATTATTTTATAAGTAGCTGCAGGACCATGGGGTTGGGCAGGACCGGAGAAACTTATGCCTACATGTGCACACCTGCATATAGTCACTTTGTGATATTGTATGTTCTAATCATCGCAAGGAAAGGCATGCACATTTTATTCAGGTGCTTGCACGGAACTGATGTCTTCTATCCACCATGTCACCTGGCGGTCACACCATGGCTCTGAGGTTCCCCTAGTTTCCCTCTAATGCTCATGTGTATCCTAGGGGCTGCCACTCTTATTATACATGTGGATTTTAGAGGGCAAGGTGTGCATTCTGCAGCTTTTCGGGGCTTCCTGATATCATTCATCATGAAGGGGAATTGAGACTGGCACAACCGACCCCATATGGCACCATAGTGAGGAGGAAGATAGTCCATGGAGGAAAGACCGTGGAAAGAAAGCACTGACTTCAGGGGACAAGTGTTAGTTAGCATGTGCCCTTTAGTTCATGGTGCTGCTAAGAATGAGGTGGTGGCGCACGCCTTTAATTCCAACACTTGGGAGGCAGAGGCAGGTGGATCTCTGTGAGTTTTAAGCCAGCCTGGTCTACAGAGCGTTCCAGGACAGCCGGGGCTACACAGAGAAGCCCTGTCTCAAAAAAAAGAAAAAGAGAAAGAGAGAGAGAGAGAGAGAGAGAGAGAGAGAGAGAGAGAGAGAGAGAGAGAAAGAAAGAAAGAAAGAAAGAAAGAAAGAAAGAAAGAAAGAA